TTTTTTTTTTTTTTTTTGAGGTAGGAGCGACTTGTTAGAATATCCCAGGTTAACCCTAAGGCCTTCTTGCTTGGTTTTAATACTTTTGTTTATGACCCTTCTTAGAGATTTCACTGATATTTTATTGCATTCGTGTGAAAAGACATCAAAAAGTGCATTTAATTTGTATCGCGATCAAACGATCATTTGCTGTTTATAAGTGATGTACCTTCACAGTGTCATTCAGCAACGTATTTTTTTGGAGTGTTTTCAAGACTAAGAACTTTGCTGGTTTTAACCAGAAATGTTCAGAGATATGGTCTAAACTACAGAGCACAGGAGGATTTTTGCTATGGACGTGAATTTATAAGGGTTACTGAAGATGAGTCATAGTTAAAAATAGTGGCTAACTAGGATGCTAATAAATTTTGAGCACCCACATCAAGGCTAATGTATATAGATAAAAGAAAGTAGTAAGCAGTGGCCACAGCTGTAAGTAGTTGTTTGACTGTATCTGATTAACGAGCGAGTGGCTTATTCCGCGGTGCCACTGACGAGGGCTAGTAGTATTTGAAAAAGTGAATTACTTGAACAAGTTTCTTCTATCTGCTCATGAAATTAGTAAGTTTTAGGATCTAAAACTTTCAATATACTGTCTGTTCTTGCTTTTTCCTTCTGCATTTTAATAGCACTCTACTTTTTACAGTTATTTTTTTCTTTAGTATTTAATTTGATGTTTTTTTTGTGGCCTAATTAAATTTTGTAAAACATTTCATCTGAAAGATCTGTTTCTTCCACTAAGATTCCAGATAGTCGTTTTACCGATCATTTATCTCTGTACAAACTTGCCGTTTACAGTAGGAGAAGAAAAGATGCAGATTACAAAAATGTCGTAAATCAGCGGACTCATAAAGTATGTTATAACTTGTTTCGCAGTATCACTAACGAGAGCTGATATTTGCTCTCTGACGTACAAAGATGCATTTGATTCGAGGACTGATTCCTTACACAGCTTTTAAAATGCGAGTTTAGATGTGACCTCAGTTTTTTTTTTTAAATTGTTGATCTCAGCACTAATTTTAAGTTTTTTTCAGCTCCTTTTTGAATGTAATGTTTTTTGAAAGTACTGTAACACGATGTTCAGCTGTTACTCCTCAACACCGTATTGTGTGTTGAAAAGATTACGTCATCTTGATTGGATATTTACATAATGAAGCTCATAATACATAAAGACCTGAATTTTGACGGCGTAGTAATGTTGCTTCTTTCCAGTTCAAATTCTAGTGATTAACCAGATCTTGAAACTTATAATTGTAATATTCTTGGATTGTTTTCTTGATGTTAATAAAATGTTATTGGGATCACTGATTAGCCAAAAATATCACATTTGTAGTATCTTCCTTTGGAGATTGATTATATTCTTTATTTTGAAGACTTGCGTTGTCGAGTTTAGCGTTTAAATCTTCATCTCTGTAGATTTTTCGAAAATGCAGTTGCAGATGTGTGATGGAAAATATTTCGTCAAGAAACGTACTGCATTTTCTGGCAGGAGCTCCAAGTCCTGGTGCTTATGCCACAGTTGAGAATTTGCTTGCATCGGGACGATGTTATGTCAATGAGAGAGCAAAGGATGGTATAACACCTCTGCATATTGCTGCCGCTACTGACAACTTCCCAATCTGTCAACTACTGCTATCTTTCGGAGCAGACCCACTGTTACCAGATGAAAAAGGAAGGTTTGTACAATCTACCTTATAAATATTGCTCATTTGAGCAACTGATTTCAGCTAGTGAATAAACTTTTTTGGAAATGAAGAATTCGTATGTTAATTCAGGCGAGAATGTGAAGTTGTCTAATTTTTTGTGTTGTTTATCAATTGCAGTTTCAGGACACCTTATGATGTAGCTGTGGGGAAGAGCCGATGTTTCTTCAGGAGCAATATAAGGAGTTCAAATAAGTTGCGAAGAAGAATTCGCGAATATTTAGGAAATAAATTTAGGACTCTTTTTGCTTGTACTTCAAGTGGAAAATACAATGAAGAATGGGATTTTGATATTAGAAATCAAGGTTTACCGATACTAAGCAGCAGTCCTTCAAAAGTTAATTGTCCTCGTTCGGGTCGACTAAGACTAACACCTTTTCCTCATTCTTCTTTACGAGGTAATTGTTCTAAGTTTAACGCCGTCCTCTACCTTTATAATTTTGATAGGTATTAGAAGTCATTTGTATTAAGTTTATTAAGGTGAAAGTTTTAGTGAATAGTCCATCTCCATGCTGTTCCAATAGTTCAAAGTCGAAAAATAACGTTCAATTTGAAAGTCGTGGAACTGTGACATCTGGTTGTACAAAGAGCTTAAACGATTCTTTTGTGACGGCAAGAGAAACTAGCAGCTTGTGCCCCAGTTCTGATGAAACGTTAAAGTCATCTTTGTCACCACTTCCCGTTTTGGATCAAACTCCAGTATCACAACACGATAAACAGTTTTCTGATCGTCGTACCGGTAACACCGGAAGAATTGTCCAAGGTCCTTCATTCATGACACACTTCACAGAAGACGATTCTGATTCTTCAGGTTTGTGTTTTTTTAAAAGTATTATAGGGGTCTTTGTGGTCATTTTCCTTGAAAACATGATAGAACAATTTTTGTCATGCGTAGTCGTTCACTGTTTGAGATGTCGTACTTTGACACTGCAATAGCAGTTCTTACTTCCCTTTCAGCTACCCAGACTTTAGTAATTGCACAACTGTAAACAGACTTTGTTGATTGCAATACATTTCGTGGGTGTTTTTTACAGTGGAAAGAATCGATTTGTCACTGTTTAATGAGATCTGCCATTGTAAGATGAATGTAATAAATACGATCTCTCCTCAAGCCTGTGAAAACTCCTCTGTTTCTCCTACAAAATCGTTATTTTAATAAATTCATTTATTCTTCTTGCGGAACATAGCTCTCAAAGGCTTCACATGTGTATGATACAATGCCTTTTTTTACGAACCAAATATCGTAAGTGTATAATAAACAAATTCAGTTCTGTCTAGCTAAGCACAGAAAAATTCGCTCTTCTGTCCTCTTACTCTTTCGTACTGCAGTCATTGTACATCCGTTTATGGCTAATCTTATGCTTTTATGTATCTCGAATGGTTTATAATCATTTATGACTTATATGCAGAAAAATAATGTTTAGATGAAGAACCTACAATTCCATTGGAAATGAAGCTCCGTATATCGCGTATGTCAGATCGACAACTGAAGCAGGAATTGGCTGCGAGGTAAATTTTATTTCTAGCTATTGGTTGTAAATGTTCGTCCACCGCTGTACTTGTCTATTTTTTTAGAGGTGTAACTGTTGGTCCTCTTCTTACCTCGACCAGAGGAGTTTATGAGAGGAAACTTGGCCGTTTGATTGCTGGAATACAGGAGATCGACGTTGGATCTGGAAGTATGTGTTAATTTTTTTATTTATTTGGACTTAAATGATTAGATGTAAAGTGGGAGATTCCGTTACTTCTTTGATAAATTGATGTAGCTTTGTTTTTTGAAAAAAAATCTTTTGTTTAAGTTATTTTTCTGAAGACTGTATGTTTTTGGTAGAAAAAGTAAATGATTTTTTCCGACTGGTCAGTGATTGTGAAATTAATACCAGATGCAGCTTTTCAAAGTGTTTCGCCTTTTGAGAATTAGTTTTTAAATTTTTGATAAGGCGCCAGCTCAGAGTAAAACTATTATCCGGGGTTTTTTGTAACTTCAGGAGTCCAACAGGGCTGACTAACGTTTAGTTTTATTGCGCAATTTCTACAGTGGTCTTCTAAAGTAGCAAAAGGTCTTGTGTGTTCATGCTGATGAGTCTGATTCAAAAATTTACAAACTGTAAGCGAAAATTGTCAGTTTTAAATTTTTATGGAAATTTTCTGTTTTGGGCATAACAAAAGTCTATCTACATCTGAAAGCATAGTTTATCTTATTTTTTGGGAAATAATAAAATATGAGTGATGTTATTTGTTGAGTGGTAACTTGTTCTTTTCCTGGTGCTTTCTGAGATATCCCCTTGATTTTGAGAGAGCCATGCGTTGTGCCATTTGAATGATAGTGTAGATAAACAGGACCGTTTCTTTGGTAATTTCCTAATCTTTTTGTTGGCAGTACGTCTGAAGCTCATGTTAATTACCTCTACTAAGACCCATGTATTTTTCTTTCATGATAAAGACGTAATACTTTTAAATGTCTCAGACTTGTTCATTCTCTTTCTTCCCTTATGAATTTAAGTCATGAGAAGCTAATAGTGTATTTAATGCGCTGTTATTCCAGGATATAGTACGGCACTGGAAGAAGCTATTGCCGGTAACGATTGCTCCGTTATGGGTTTGAAGTTGAATGCAGATCTCATTGAGGATTTCTCTGCGATGAGTTTGAGAGCTTGTAGAGAGGGAAAGAAAGCAACTTCTTTTTGTTATTTACTGATTGGTAAATAGCGTTCCAACTGTTCCTTGACTCGTTTGTTTTTTTAAATTTTCAATATTTGAAGACACTCAAAAATTATTTATTGTTCCCTAGTTTATATAAGGAAATTCTAGCTCTTGGTTGCTCCACTCGTACCCTTAGATAATTATTTCTGTTTGTCTAACGCATATTTAAGAAATATGTGATAATCCTTCATAACTTTCAGACCCCTCAATGATTGACGACCCAAGCACATGTTCTCTTGCAGAATTTGTAAGCGCAGTCTTTTACGTTGGCAAAGGAAAAAGATCACGACCATTAGAGCACCTGGTGGATGCAGTACGTTATAAAAACTTGGGCAAAGTAGTATCGCCAAGAGCACATTTGCAGGTAATTCTTTTCTATCCAAGATTAATCCATGTTTTTGCTATACTTCCAGATTACAATATCTTAGGAAAGTGCCAAACTGAACAAGATTAATGATATATGGCAGAGTGGTTGCGGCGTTGTTTCTCTTCATGTTTTCCAAAACACGATTCCTGTCGAAGCATTTACAAGGGAAGCAGCTATGATCGATGCGATTGGTAAACATTTGTTTAAACATTTTGGAACGAATCATGTGGTTCTTTCTTTTTTTTCCTTTTTTTTACCACTGTTAAAGTAGTAATTAATCGCCAATAACTTCACTTACAAATTCTTATTCTGATCACGGAGTGATAAACAAATAATATACTGTTTTTTTTCCACTTACACGAATTTTTGAAGGACTAACAGGCTGAAAAGTTAAAAGTATTACCTGATAAAACTGAGCGTGAAAGTAATCATTAACGATATTAGTCTTGTTTTTAGCACCGCAGTTATAAACTTTTTGAAATTCTGTCCCTTCTTTTTACATTCTCGATAGTGTAATCCTTGAAAATCTTTGAGTATAAAAGAACATTTCGAAGGTGCATCAGAACAGAAAACTGAAAACTAAGCTTGAATTACGTGAAGTCAACATTTGTTTCTTACCATGAATAAAATTGTACTACATTTTTAGAACTCGGTGACGTTAACAACTTTTACTCTCCTCAACCAAGTTTTATAAGTTTGAACTTTTAAGGGTTAAGCAACTTAACTAACATCAAACGAGGAGATTATTACGGTAAGGGCAAAACATGGAGTATTCGAGAAAAGACTGTTTTTGGCTCATTTTTGTTGACAGAAGCACTGGGCATCCTTCGCATTGAAGGATGTAGGCAGCTTTTTGAGCGGGATGTTGCAGCCGTTTAGTCTGGTGGACCAATTACATTTTTGCTGACACTATCTAACTCAGGATTCTAAACATATCTTGCAAACTTTTTTAGGTTCCTCAGAATTTGTTTGAATGCTTTTTAAGTCACCTAAGCACGTCTCACTAACACTATTTTTGTTCTGTAACCGGGTTGCTCTTTTGTTTAACTTATGAGTTTGTATATTTTAGTACTGTGATTTTGTTGTAGTGTATTATCTTATTTGGATCAAACTGGTTAGTGCTTTTGCCGTGGGATTAGAAGTAATTGCTACTTAAATTTTTAGTAGGAAATTTCAGTTGTAAAATGTTGATTAATGCTTTGTTTAGATATTTAAATGTTTCTTCGTGCATGATTTGTCGCCTACTTCTAAAGTTCAATGTGTTGTTGCCACCTTTTTCACAAAGAATTTTTGGGTAGTTCAATCCAGATGTTCTTTTTGTGTGTTAAAATAATGAACTCGTAACAGCGAAAATAAAAACCTCATCTTCAGGGGCTGTTTTTATCCCTACTAAAAACTCAAACGAACTTTTGTCGGAGTTTCTTGAAGCGCAGCGAGAATGGTCCGTGTAAGACCGTCTCACGTGGCCTCAAGTTGGTGCCAAGCTGTGGGGCTACCTCCAAACACGTTTGAGTTTTTTTTACGATGATTTCCTAGTCTTGAAGCATTTTTAGAGGCCTACCTGATAATTTTGATCTCGCTTGGATCGTCAGAAGGACAGCTCTTAAGATCAACAACTCTGTTGCCAGTAACTCCAACTATATTTTTAGGCAAGAAGTAGCTAGATGACTAAAAAAATACTACATCACCATCAGGTTAAGTGTAATTATGATAATGCGACATTAACAGAAACCGCATGCCAAAAAACAAGTGGCTTTACTTTTGACAGCTCCAGAATCAAGAAGGCTAAGTAGGCAACAGTGAAATTACGCAACAGAGGGCCTTACTCAGTAACAAAAAACAAACCGAGTTGTCAAAAAAACAGCAACTACCCTCTTAAAACAATTATAACAAACATCACAGTTATAAAAGAAAGTTGCCTAACAACTACTTTGTCGATGTTAGGCCAATCACAGAGGTTAAATATTAGGTCTGCACGCTTGCTTTTCTGTTCCCAGTTCGTATATCTTGAAAAAAAAAGTTAAAAAAGACTTACCAGCTTACCTCAAGTAGTTTCTCCACAATTAATACTTTTGCAACAACGAGGCAAAAACCTGAACACACCTCTACCTAAAGAACAGTGTTTCTGGAGTCAAGAGTATCGGAAGTCATTTTCATTCTCGATCCTCTTCTTAGACACTATTTCAAAAAGATGTGTTTAGCCGTTTAAAAACTAGTAATACATGGGCGGAAAGTCAGTGGAGTATTGGGGTTACCGTTAAATTCGAATTCTAAACTCCTCCCCTTCTCGCCCACCTATCTGAAAGCTTTCAATACGGTATATGATTAAAGTTATTGTAAAGAATTATGGGTCACTCCTCCGATGTTAAAACTGTCCTCTCTACTCAAAAAACACTCATTCCTTAACAGCAGAGAGCAGCAATTACCCCTACACAAAGCAGAAAATTGCAATGAAACATTGAACTGTCAGATCGGATCAGTACAGTTATCACAGATAATATACCTCACCCCACAATCCTCTAACCACCGCTTGATCCAAAAACTGGTCGTCCTTACTGCAATAATCTAGCGAAACGAGTTGCAGATAATGTATTTCATTCCAGTCCTCTAATTCCTAAAAGATCTACTATTACAGTTCCTACCTTTTATTAAGAATCTTGAGACCTTTATACTGCATATAAGTGTCTTTTCTATCAACTACGGCGTTGTCAGAAAACGAATTCCCTTTAGAATACTCTTCAGCAGCTCGTAATTAGACTTCAGAACGGACTCTCTACTGTAACTGTTAATAAGGCTTAATATCCGTCCTAGAACTTCAAAAACCAACTCTGTGCTGAAGTCTTACCTAAATTGCTAAATCCCTTACCAGTCAAATGCTAGACTTTTTCTGTAAAAAGCCGGCAAAGAAACTAAAAACTGGCTTTCTCTACACTCTGTTCACTCTGCACTCGGAATGTTCTAACGATCGGAGTCTGAATATATCAGAAAAAGTATTAAAAGTTAAGGTGCTACAGTCTACGCATTAAAAAAAGAAACTGCAAAATGGGCAGTCTTATAAAAAACACCCGCCTAAAATGAGTGAAAGGTCTGATAATTACAAAACAGTGAAGTAAGCGTGCAGACCTAATAGATAAAAATTAAAACAACAACAACAAAGAGATTCTAAACAGACGATCGAATAACTTAAGCAAAAATTTCACATTTGATAACGAAATACAGCAGCTATAAACAGCCATTTAAAGAGCAGTCACTACTGTTAAACTGTCTCAATACCGATGCCCTTCCAGTGCAGTCTTCAAAAAAAAAAAATACTGATTTTAAAATCATTCCTGTTAGGTGAAATGGGTGCTATTATAACCCAGATATTGTCCGTAAGACTCGTTTAGCTCCATTTTAATAAAATGCAAAACACAAGATTTAACATTGATCCACAAGGGTCTCCTAACTAATGCAAACTGTAGCAAAAATTTCTTACAGATGACACATCTAATAGTCAAAAAGTGCTAGTTAAATCAGAAGTTCCAGGACTTCTAAAGTTTTGCACCAGTGAAACACAATTACACCAATCTCATTTTAGAATTATTGAAATATATAGCCTCTGGTACCCTAAATCAAATCGAGTCTTCAACACGCATACATATTCGCGCCTAGAGTCACCACGAACTTCCACATTCAACGAACACAATAGATAGGTTTACTTTTTATATCAGGGCAAGAAAATAGTCCCTACTTACTCTTCCTCTTGCTAGAGACGTATTATTCCCAGCACTGATGTTGGAAACTGCGACCATCATCTCTGTAGCAGAGTTTTGATGCTATGCTTCTAATTTTTTTCCTAATGAGCTATCGATCTACATTTCAGATCTAGTTATGACTCCTTACAACTTAATAGTCATAAGCAGGAACGGCAAAGGGCGACCTGGTCGCTAATGTAATCTCTGCAAGGGCAAATACGTCTTATCCGTATTTTAAGAGGTGACGACGCGCAGCTGAACAACATTGGATCTGACTGCAAAACGCAGGGGTACGGCGCAGCAGGGTCTGCTTCTGAAGCGACAGTCGAACATGTCTCGCTAAAAAAGTTTAAAGTTAAAAGTAGACCCTACTAAAAAAGACTTCTGACTGTGTACACCGTTTGCAACTAGTTATTTAAAGAGAAAACGAAATTTAGCAGAGATGTAGAATATATAGAAGCAAACAGCTGAACGATAACAGCAGTACTGTAGACCGTAGAAGTCTACAAAAGATAGTTTCTGCAAAAACGATGCTATAAAAACTTTTTACATCATTATCGTGCCGTGAATAAAGTTGAAATTTTTAATAGCAAAGATGCTTCAAAGACAAATAAATCAAAGACAGCGAGATTGCAGTTACTTAACAAAAAATGACTTACAGCTCGCCAATTAACGAAGCGTCGTTTACTATTTTAAAGAAAGAGCGTTCGCATACAAGTCCTAAAACAAAATTCTGTAAATATAACCGAATTTTAATGATTTAGAAACCAAATTAAACTTCTCAGTCAAAATTACATATATTCACTTTCTGGAACATTGAATTTTATATATCAACATGTTAAACAACAGACCGTAAGCAGCACAAGTTCTTTGACACGATGCACCGCTCTCACCTATCTTGATTTGTAAGGCTGATATTGGAGGGTAAGCTGGACTGGACGACGAAGAACAGAAATTCTGTTTGTTCACAAGTGTATTTACTCGTTGCAGCATTCCAGTGGCAGTAAATTCGAAAGGAAGGAAAGGTTTTGGCTAAAGTAATATTCTATTCAGTAAATGCATCCAATC